CATGTAGGGTCAAAGGTTACCCTTCTCCAGAACTCGACTCTCTCGTGAATGTGCGTACAGCCGTAAATATGGATGTTTTTCTTACAAAAACCTATTGCTTTGCTTCAGAAGGCATTTTTAACCCACTGGAGTCATATGGAATACTTTTATGATGAATGGATGCACTTTTTGGAGTTTCAAAAACGTACTAGGCACAATTTCATGCCATCACAAAGCTGGGAAAAGCCAGGATACTAGGCTAATTAATAACTTTGAGTTCGACTGAAAAAAGAAAGTCATATAAACCTAGGATGGCTTGAGGGTGAGTAAATCATGGGGTAATTTTCATTTTTGGGTGAACTATTCATTTAAATCACAGGTCTGAAACTACTCCACCACTCAAAAATTTGAGGTCAGTAGGATTTTAGTTTTTGAAAGAAATTATTTTTACTCAGCAAGGACATATTAAAGCTGCAGTCCACAGTTTTCCCTCTTTGTCGCCATCTCTGTTCGAAATCTGCAATTGCAGTTATTCGCGGAATTATCAACTTTACGTGAGTTGTACTTCGACACGGCACAGCACGGATGAACACAATGTTTGAGGAGAGTGTGCAGCTGTCAGTCACCGCGCCGGTGTGGATACTGGCATTCAGAATCACAGTTTATTCTTTTTGGAAGTATGAACAACATCTGAACAAGTAACATCCACTTTTGTTCTGGTTCTGACATTGCAGTAAATCGCGCTGATTAAATCTAAAAATCACTTATCATATCACGCAAAACCGTGCAAATTATTCTTTGTTCTCAACTTGTTAATGTTAACAACGTCAGCATTGCGTGACTACATGTAATGTCCTTCCGATATGTATCCTTGTTTTCGCATGGGTCCGGTTGCAGTCTCTTTTTCTCTGTAGCCACTCCGAACGAAGTCTTTTGCATTTTACACCGCGTGAATCTGTTGTCACTGGTGATTGTTGTTTGAACCTTTCTGGATCCGCCATCAAATTGATAAGTTTAATTATATCAAGTGCTGTGAGAAAAGGCTATAAATCTCCACCTCCAACATCCTAACACTCATAGCCTACTAGCCGAGACTCCTTCTTTATGTTTACAGATGTGACGTAATGACGCAAAGACATGCTAGAATCTCCCGCGGAAATCCACCAGTACCACTGGAATTAAAAACATTATTACAAGCTTACCGTTTTGAATCGAGCTAAGGCAAGCAGATAGTTTTGAACACTGGCTGGTTATGTATTTTCTCAAATATGTATTTTGCATAATTTTTAACCCCAAAAAAGCTACGGACTGCAGCTTTAATTAACTGAAAAAAAGAGAGTTATAATATTTATGTTACAAAAGATTTCGATTATTACAAATAAATGCAGTTCTTTTAATTTTTCTATTCATCAAAGAATCCTGAAATCACAATTTCCACAAAACTATTAAGCAGCACAACCGATTTCAACACTGATAATAATAAGAAATGTTTCTTGAGTAGAAAATCAGCATAGGATGATTTCCAAATGTGACACTGGAGACTGGAGTGATTTCCATTACACGAGAGTAGATGTTAAAACTTCATGCTGATTTGTACTCGGCTTTCGCCAAGATAAGCAACACTAAGACGTAGCTTTATAGTAAACTATGCTTCACCCATTTACGCTTCTTTCCATATGGTGGTGTGACTCCCCTTCTGTCCGGCGTTAACGACTGCAGTGTACTTGGCGCGTCAACACACACGACGGCTGCAACTACAGTGTGGTCTCCCTAGTGGACGCACGACAACCGTCTGGATTGAGCCAAGTAGGGGACATCTCTAGGGTCTTCAAGGGGGCACCTTCCGTCCTCAGTGTTTTGTCGACTAGCCCACGACACCTCAAGAGGGCTCGACAGTGACTCTGGCGTCCCAGAGTCACCCCCCTCCGTCCACCACTCAACTCAGCCCAGCTTACTGACCTCTACATCCCTCCTGCTGCTGAGACCTAACCACAATCTCTCCGCAACCCAACCATACGCGCCAACCCGTTTGACTAAGGCTGTCGAGCCCCACTGGTGCGTTAATATGCAGTTTCAGTGGCAACGGTTCCGTATGGCGTACCACCTACCGCAAAAACACAATATCTGCCCAACCACCCGTCATTCACGCAATATACACAGGAACGTAATGACTGTAAATACTATACAACCTATACAAATAAACCAACAGACTCTTCAAGTTTTCAAGAATTCTACGAAATCGTAGCGTGGCGGCCTGTACACAGCCAGCTAGAATCTTTCCGTCTCAACCACAGCCAGTTGCTGCTCCTTTCTGCTGCTTCAGATAAGTTCTTTACTGTGCGACGCAACTCTTGGCCACTGAATCCGACGTCTCTGAGGAACCGGGTTGTAGAGTGTGCCACAAAACCTCGACAACCCACTTCCACTGGATAAACCTGGACTCTTCATCCTCGCTGTTCTGCTTCAGTGGCCAGATGAGCATACTGCAGTTTCTTCCTCTCATATGCCTCATCTACCGCATTCTCCCATGGCACTGTTAACTCTATCAGTTGAACAATGCGTGCTGATCCAGACCACAAAACAATATCTGGTCGTAGGTTAGTGGTGGCAATCTCAGGTGGAAAAATAAGCCGTTGATCAAGATCAGCCAGCATCTTCCAGTCCCTAGCAGCTTCCAGTTGTCCTGGGCGAGAATTGGTGTTAGCACCTTTTCTTGGTGGTTGCTCGCCTGGGCGGAGGAATATTGTCTTCTGTGTGTAATGTTTTGCTAGAACAGGCGGCAACTTATTGGTCATACTACGCTTGCCTTCCAATGCTAAAGCCAAACATCGCAATACTTGGTCATGGCGCCAAGTAAACCGACCTTGGCTAAGAGCCACCTTACATCCTGTTAAAATGTGCCTTAATGTGGCAGGTGATGAACACAAAGGACAAGAGGGATCCTCTCCTACCCAGAGGTTTAGGTTCTGCGGTGATGGAAGAACATCATATGTTGACCTAATAAGGAAACTGATCCTACTCTCTTCCATTGACCAAAGGTCTTGCCAGCCCATTTTGCGTTGTTCCACACTCTCCCATCTCATCCACTCTCCCTGCTTGGCCTGGGAAATGGCCTTTATACACCTCATCCTCTCCTCCTGCTTTCGCACCTCGTTGACTACCAGCTTCCTCCTTTGAGCTGGGGCTGCCTTGTGCCATTTAGGAGGAGCTAAACTGAGCCCAAAACCCCCTCTTCCATGCTGTACCTGTCCCACGATATCCCCAATTTGAAGGTCAGCCTTTGCCTCTACTACAGATTTCTTTGCTGACCACTTTCTACCAGTTTTTAACACAGGGGCTGCCTCCCTTACACATTTGTCACGTGACTCTACTAAAGTCATTTCCAGTCTGACCTTGGCACACTTAATCTCCTCGGTTAAAGCAGAGACTGGCAGCTGCAATATTCCTTTAATATAAAGTCCCACTCTGCTGAGGCAGCGTGGAACTCCCAACCATTTCCTGATGTATGAACTTATTAACGCTTCCAGCTTATCCACTGTTGTCAAAGAAACCTCGTACACAGTCAGTGGCCACAGCAACCTTGGCAGTAGACCAAACTGAAAGCACCAGAGTTTTAGTTTGCCTGGTAGAGCACAGCTGTTTATGCTCTTCAACCCTTCCACTGCTTGTCGTCTAACTTCGTACCATCTCCCAAGACTCTTCACTGGCTTCTCAGAAACTGTTGGTATTGCCTCACCATTAATGAAGAATGTTTTATCTACTACCTTTCCTTTAACTATCGAGATGCTCCTTGATTTAGAGGGCTTAAATTGCATTCGTGCCCATTCAATATTATCTGGAATGTTTAGTAATGAGTAATGATGCTGAAAATTAAACTTTGACATCACAGGAATAAATTACATTTTAAATTTAAAGTTTCTAATGTTGTTTATATGTCTTTGTGGTGTTTTAATATGCTTTAATACAAACCATGAGCAAATTCATCGGTCAACACCATTGCTGAGTATTTTCTCCCTAAAACTGCAGTTTACCAAAGACTAGTCTCAGCCTCAGACGTCACACCCACAAACTGTTGGCTGAATGTCTGATGGTACACAAAATGGGAAACACTAAAGGAGTTTTGATGTCATCATCTTATTGGTTGAATTCAACAGGATTTCCTGGAGACATCTGATATGTGTTCTTTAATGGTTCATCTAGAAACAAAGAAATTGTAACGCCAAACCCCCTCATAGAAGAAGGAAGCCGTGGTGTTTACAACTGTGACAATGAGCGCTTATAGGGATCAACTAAACGCTGTTTTTTTTTTTTTTTTTAAATATGTGAAGTTTGCGGTGCCACTGTTGCAGTTAACTTGCACAATGTTCTTGAATGAATAATTTATTAGATGCATGCCAGTCTGTTATTGTAGGGACGTCAAATGAAAATGTTCACACCTTCACACCCCTAAACATTCCATGGAAAAGAACGAACTGTGACTGATTGCTTTATATGACAGTCAGACGTTGTTGGCCAGTCCTTGGCCAATGAAAGCTGCAATGCAGTCCAGACCTTCTGCCGTCAGTCTGAAGGTCTGGCTACGCGAGACTAACCAAAAACAGTCTCAAAAACGTGTTTTGAAACCGCCCCTGTTCCCTACATAGACATCAGCATTCATATCCAAACTAGACATCACTACCGTAGACAACAGTGTTTATATCCAAACTATACACTTTGATGATTTTAATAATTTTTAAAGACTGTTTGTGAAGCTGTTTCATCCCTCCCCTACACGACAACTGTTCTCTCTGGATCAGCGGCAGCACCAACGCAGATTTGAATGTCTGCTATGATCGTACAAGTCTAAGGTTAAATAGACAAAGGTTTAATAGCCAAATCGTTGTCATTTAGGAATCAGATCGCATGGGTGTTTGAAACGAGATCACAATCTCTTAATGATTAATCGTGCAGCTCTAAGACATGCTGAAACTATTTACATAGGCCTATCTGTAAACTTCCACTAAAAGCAGGACTTCTCTCACCTCAAATTCTTCCACGCAATTCGTATCAGCATAGTCAATGATGCATCGCCCAAGCCACTCGTCATGTCTGGCGCTGAGGATGTCATTCCTGCAGTTCTCCAGGAAGGGCTGGAGTCTTAACAGAAGACTGCGGGACAGCAGGTATCCAAACCCCCCATAGCAATACCTCCCCTGCATCTCACCTCCGATGAACTCTTCTGGGCTGCCCATGTAAAGCACCCGGTCCATACTCAAGTGTTCCACCAGAGCCTTGATACGATCCGCCTGCGTGTACGTGTCATCCTGGGCGAGGTAGAACCAGTCGTACTCTGTGATGTAATGTTCTAGAATGTACTTGATGGTCTGGAACATGTTCCAGATGAGGCGTTCATCACCATGGGTGACCACAATCATCCCGTGGGTTATCTTGTGGCTTCGTGTGCCAGTGAAGAACACAACATTGTCCAGATGATGGCTTATGGTGCGGTTGACGGCCACACCCAGAGTGTTGATGGTGTTTTTGGATGTGAGTACTCCCACGAAAAGACGCTCTCGAATTCCCAGCTCTGTGCTGATGTATTTCGCCCTGTGGAAACAGACAGACAATTACAATTTATAACTCATGATTGTTTAACTCAGGACTGTAACTTTGTCATTGCAATGATTAACCACACCCATCATGGAAGACTGTTTCCAGTAAAAAAAAAAAAAAAAAACTGGTCATTTCAAAGATTTCATTTGCATGTTATAAAGATACAAGATATTACAAAATATATATTGTCACAATTATAAGAAAAAGTTGCATTGAAAACATTGTTGCTATTGTTAATTAAAACTAAAATTGACAGTAAAACTATTAAAAAATATATATATATTTATATTTTTGGAAATTACATTTAAATTCCAAAAAAAACAGACTGGGAGTGGAAAGTTCTGTGCGTGATCTGCTGATGACGCACAAATTAAAAAAAAAAAAACGCAGCCGGATAATTTCCGTAATGACCAAAGCAATCTACCAATAGCAGAGCAGAGGTTTAAATAATGGAATTGACTAGAGTACACCTTAGTAAATCACCTTGCATAAATCATTTAAATACTCTCCTCCCATACATGTTGCGTCTGAACGGGAAACTTACAAATGCATTTGCAATAATGTCAGTAGATGATGTAGTTGACAGACGTTTTTTAACAGCAAAAGTGTGTTTGCGCTGGCACAAACTGTTTGTAAATCTGGGGCCAGAATTTTATTTTATTTTTTGAGATTTTTCAGATTTGTGATATTCAGATTTGTGAAGCCTATAGAGAATATTCGGTCTCATGTTAAATTCAAAGGAATTGGGATACATTTTTCTACTCAAGAAGTGTTAGAATCCATTAACATTGAGTGGAACAACATTGACTTTTCTTCCTTTAAAAAGCTGTCTCCAAGTTGGTGAAGGCTATTCTAGTAACTTTATCTACAGTATTTGTGCAATTCTTGATAATTTCCAGACCAGTGATTAAAATGGTTAAGACCATTAAAAGACCACTAAATATTTTGCCATTTTTGGATTGGCCCATTTTATTTGCCCAAGAGTTTGTATACTGGGTGTGAGCCTGAAAACAAATGTTTCAGATCAATTTAGCAGTCAACTATCAGGATGCAGCTTTGTAAACCAGTGCTGGGAGAAAGAGGTTAGTATGAGGTCAACGTGAACTGATAACCAAAGACAACTGACCCTTTCATGTTATGGGATTAGTTAACAAAAGTACTATCTGTAGCCTTCCTAATTTACCTCAGAGTATTGTAAGCGTTGACTAAAATGGAGAAATTAGCACCATGGGAGCCACCCTTAAGGATTATAGAGTTCCCAATGGGACATATCAACAGTTACAGTATAAACCTGGCACAGGCCTGTGTCATCTCATTCCCATGAACAAATATTGAAATACTTCTTAGTGTTTGAAATGCCACTGAGTCATTGCCAATCTTGTTGCAGAATTCTTTAAATAGCAAAAGCAAATATTTGACTTAGGGCCTATCTGTAATTGTCAAAGCCTAAACCACCAGCATTGAAGTGTAGAGTTTAAGTCACATTACTAAAAGCTGAAGGCCAACTCAAAGCTTTAGTAGTAGTATTTTGTGTTTTGTCTTCATTATGAAAAATAGATCTTTAACAACTTAAATCACTTATCTTGCCAAAATGTCATTAGCTGTTATGCTAGTAGCTACTAACATGAATAGTGTAAAGATTTTAAGGCTATGTTGCAAAATACAATTTTAATCTCAATGTTCTTTAATTTTGAGGAAATCATAAACATGACTGATTTACGAAAATAATAACCAAGATTAACTTCATGAAAACAGCCTTTTCCAGCATAAGTAAACAACAACACCAAGAACAGAGAAGCTTGCATAGCCTACATAACTTATTATTATTCACAGCTGTCCTTCAGAATAATAATTAATTACTAAACTTACACGTTGACCTTAACCCAAGTACTCTATCCCCTAAGTGGGCTATTTTAGATGTTTATTAAGACATATGTTTTATGTCACCAATAGAGGATTTGATTGTGTTTGGGGACATTTAGAGAATTTGAGTCTCTATTAGTAGGCTATACTAGTATACACAAGGGTGTTTTTAAATTAAACAAGGCAAGTTAGGCCTACATCAGGAATGCCTGTTCAAAAATACATCGACTGGCCTAGATTATTCACTATGTTGTTTTAACCTGGGATGTTGTTTTTGGTGTGAAACACAATATAAAAGATAGATGAAGCAGGCTGAACGGTCTGTCTACCTGAAAAGTTTCTTGGACTGAGTCTGTTTCACTGGTTTATATGGGATTATTCTCGGCTGGAAATCCTCCTCCTCCTCCTCCTCACCATCACTCCCAGGGGAAATAGAGTTTGGTCTCCGAGCTCCTTTCAGACTTCCATCCTGGGATAAAACGATTCCTTCATCTCCTATGGCATTATCACAGCTTTCCTCGACCCAGCTCACACTCAGCAAACTCAGAGTAAATCCCAGAGAGATCCCGATAATAACCGGGCCGATCGGCCTTAACAGACTGATCAACATAGAAAACCTCATTGTACTCCGACTTCTAGAGCAGTACACACCTCCTTTAAGCGCGACCTTCTGAACAGAGTAGGGCACATTAAGAAAGCGGTTCGACTACAAACGGAAACGTATTGGTTGTATTCCTGTATCACCTTCCTCCAAATTATTGAGACATTCGTACGTGTCAGTGGCTCTGTCGCTCCTCCCTGAGGAAATCGAACACCCCGCCCACAAGATCAAACGTCATTACAAAGAGCCTGGGCATCCTCTTAATGGGCGGGGCTCATATTTATGTAGGCGGGCGTTTCCGCTCGAAGCCCAATAACATTTAAAGCTACTGTCTCTTTGTAATGACCATAGACAGTAAAAGAAATGGACAGAGCGATCTCATTGGAACTCAGTTGAAGCCCACTTTTAGCGATTTTTGAGAACTTCCGTTCCTGACGCGCAGACTCAATCCGACTCAAACTAAGCTTGATGACGTGAGCAACCTGTCTGACAGACGTTAATCTTCTAGTAGCTGTGCGTGAAAACTGCCAACGTTAATCTTGCAGAGACGGGGAACTTGAGCAAAGAGTTCTTTGGCGTGAGTGAGCAGGAGTAAGTATTCCGTTGCTTTTATGGACTCATTATCTATGGGCTTCTCCCTTGACGGGACGTCCCCCCGATTGCCTGCGAGCTTCTCCTCCTGTCTGTACGGTAATTTCTGTACAGCGCGACAGAGAGTCGAGTGGTTATGACGCAATCGTTAGCCTATTTTTACTAAAACTGTTTCTACGGGGCCATAGTGTAACATAGAAGGTAATGGAGCCCTTTATACATTGTCGTGTTTCTTTAGAAATAAATAATGTACAAATGGAGTCTTTAAACGCCTCAGATGTAAAGTTATTCGCTGTCAAAGTGACGCCAAAATGAATGGGAGTCAATGGAAATGCTAACGCAAGTGAAGTTCTGCTACAACATGGCGGCACCCGGCCGGCTTCAACTTCCGGTCGATGGATTACCCCCTTGGTAATGACGGTTGATCCTGGAGGCTAAGCGGTCCCTTTAAATCGCCAATTACATTTCAAATGGTAACCTGAACAGAATCCACTTTACAAACATCATAACATTTAATATTTTCTGTCATGAGCTCGGACTTGATAATGCCTACTTCGTGTACTAGCCTATTCTAAAGCTTATTAAATGAATTATATGTTTTCCACTAGAGGGCGTTGTGGGCTCATATTTAGTTATGACTGACTACTATCAGTAAAATAAATGTCATGTTTAATAGCATAAATAATAATAATAATAAGTGTCATGATTTCCTGGTGATATTTAAAAGCAATTATTAGACTTTTTTTCAACCAATGATGAATATAGTTGCAATAGAACAAGTTTATAAGTTTCATAAATACCTTGACATTTGAGGTTCCTAAATCCCATTAGACATTGGAAAAAAAAATATGGGTTGGGGGGATAAAGACAGTAATTTTATAGTACGATTACATTTTTATTTGTCTTTCCATCTGTCTGTCTATCTATCTATCTGTCTGTCTGTCTGTCTGTCTATCTGTCTATCTATCTATCTATCTATCTATCTATCTATCTATCTATCTATCTATCTATCTATCTGTCTGTCTGTCTGTCTGTCTGTCTGTCTATCTATCTATCTATCTATCTATCTATCTATCTATCTATCTATCTATCTATCTGTCCGTCTGTCTGTCTGTCTGTCTGTCTGTCTGTCTGTCTGTCTGTCTGTCTGTCTGTCCGTCCGTCCGTCCGTCCGTCCGTCCGTCCGTCCGTCCGTCCGTCCGTCCGTCCGTCCGTCCGTCCGTCCATCTATCTGACTATCTATTTATACTTTGCTTATGCATTTCCAAGTTTTCTTGTAATAATCACTGTGAATATCTCACTCTAAACACCTATAGCTGAACTTTTATTTTATTTATTCACTGTAGTTTTATTAGATTTGTTTGTTTGTTTGTTTTTGCAAAAAAACCATTCCAATAAAGAATTCTCTTTCAAATATCCATGATTTGATGCTTGAACTCTACATTAACATGAGTGAAAATGTAAGACCCACCCAAATCTCTCTGACACATCACACACTGAGTGGAAACAATTTCTTTACGGGCCACAAAAACCCCAGAGGGAACGTTTCCCTCACTGAGCTCTTTGTTCTAATAGATCAAGGGTGTGTTAGATGTTATCAAGCATATTTGCATGTTTACCTAAGAACGACACATCACAGTGGAAGCCCTTTCCTTTGGAAATCACAGCACCTCACCTAGTTCTGCTGAGCTGAGTGGGAAACATGATCAGCCTAGTTCCAGATTAAACCTCTGTCAGGACATGTTGGCTATTCTACTCTTGGGTTTTCTGTGCGAATTTGAATGTGCATGTTAAACTGAATTTGCTTGATATAAGTATTGCATTAGTCATTTTCTACAGAAGGAGACCTCTTTTTTTGTTTTTTACATAGAGTTTAAGTTCTGCTTTGCATTTTGCATTGCAGACAGGAAAGGTAAACGTCTATGTTGCAGAATCCATCTGACAGTCATGATCTGTCATCAGACATATTCATGTCAAGCTGTTTGGATAAAGACATGTGTACAAGAGTTGACATTTTCTTTCAACATTTGTTTCTTGGCTAAATTTGATTGGTATTATTCCTGAAAGTATTTAGCACTTGGCATTCAAATGGATGTGATTAAAACAAATCCATTCATATTGATAGTGTCATGTCAAAATTCACATTTTTTAATTCACATTTTTCAGCACACCCATCTATAGTCTCTGAAACTATAACCACGTGTACTTTGACAAACGGTAACAGAATATGCCTATGGTAACAAAATCTTAACACATGGTGGCGCTGTATGCCCACAGATTTAGAGTTCAAAATTCTCCCCCCTAAAATCATATCCAGCTGTACAATTTTTGCTTCATACCACCATGTGCCTATAAAATAAATGGGATGTTTCAGGGAAACATCTGTTCCATCATCATACTATCTATCATTACAGGGAAGTTCAAAATTGTTCAAATAGTTTTCCTTTCTTTAAACATTGCTGATTTTCCTTTTCCGTTTATAAGCTTAGTAAACATAAGGACAAAGAACTGGATGAAAAGCTACTTATGCAGCTTGACACACACACACAAAGGTGCTGATTCTAATTTGCAGAGAGTTTATCACTCCAGTAATCAGTGTGTGGCCCATTATCTCATTGGCTCATCTCCTTGCCGTATCTCACCAGAAAGATGGCTTTTAGACCATGCAACGACTAAATTTTTTCCATGTTGCATTACTCCAATGTCTCAATTTTTATGCTATGTTTTGCCCATCTAGAATAATGTATGAAATGTACATTCAAATCACATAAAATACATTATATATATTATATTATAATATTTTTTTTATTTTTATAAATGAGACTATTTTAAAACGTTATCTGCCCAAATATACACACAAAACACATGGAATTGTGACTATATATAGTGACTATTATATATATAATGCTCATCTAGATGTTAAATAATGTATGTAATGTACACTCAAATCACATAAAATACATTATATATATATATATATATATATATATATATATATATTATATCTTAATATTTTTTTAAATAAGTCTATCTGCCCAAATATCACATGAAAATTACACATATATCATTTATATATATATATATACATATATGTATATACAATTAAAAATGATTTCTTTAGAGTAATTTTGACTTACTGATTCTCAGTCTTTTTTAGAAAATTCAACAAAACCGGAAATATTCCATCTCAGCACATTTGTGTGGTGAAGCGTATTAAATGAATCATCAGTGTACTTGAGAAATTCCTCAAGATGGTGTTAAATGATCTTGGCCAATACAACCATCCGCACTGTACTCATATGCTAAATGGCACCCAGTAGAGTTGAAGACATGTTCCCTAAAACTCAAAGGCTAACACCATCCATTGGGCCAAAGTTCACCAGTGATGCTATAACGGTCTACGGAGTAAAAGCGACCCATTTGGAGTATGTGACTCTTTTCTGGAATCAATTGCTGTACTCCAAGTGAAAGCTCTTGCTGCTGAAAGGCTGAGCTCATGATCTGTAAAAAGGGAAAATAGTCTGCAAAAAACTGAGTCTGCAAAAAGTCTTACAGAGCAAGCACTCGACGGCTCAAATCTTGTGGTGAGCAACAGCTTTTTTATTGGAATAAATTACAATGCACAAACCAGATTTTTATAAAGTGCGCTGTGATTATACATGTTTTCCTCTGCCCCCATGTTCTGAAGAGACACAATCTTACTCATGTGATGCGAGTTCCAGGAAACAGCATGTCTGCCGAATCCCCTCCCATCCTCTGCTGTTTAGGTCATGGCATGACTTGACACTGTCCTCTCTCCATATACTGAGCAGCCTGTTCACAGACACACAGAAGCGTGTGGCAATATTGACGTTTTATAACACAAACTCTACTGCCAGTGGTGAAGGAATTTCATGAACTTGACTTCTCGTGGGGATTCCAGAAATGACTGTGGCTTGTTTATAAAGGTTATGGCACATAAGCGTCATGTGGTTTTGATTTGGACGTAATTTTTAACTATGCCTAAAAAATATTGTGTGCAATGGGATTTCAAATCGCATTGGATGCTAACGTAACAGGGAGTTGTCTCACTCCCAGTTTGACACCAGAATGTTAAACAATAGGAAAAAGGTTGGAGATCATAATTAACAGCTTTTCCCCCCCCCTGAATAATGGATATTGATTTTAGTAGCAAAAGAGTTTGACCTGAGAGATTGACTGTAAATAGTGCTGAGTAAATGAGAGGCAGTTTTGCCACACGGTCTGCATGGGGATTTTTCCGCGCCATGTGTCAGCTGAAGATATTCTCCTGGTCTTCAGAGGGCTGTTCCCAGGAACGCTCAGCCAAGACCCCAGGCTCAACACCCTGCTGTACTTTGAAATGGGATCTTTATTGTCCATAAAGTTTAAGCCAAGTATGAAGAATCGCTCCTCCCAAACAAAACACACACTCTCTC